TGTACCGGGGTATAGAAGAACTGTACCGGAGTATAGAAGAACTGTACCGGGGTATAGAAGAACTATACCGGGGTATAGAAGAACTGTACCGGAGTATAGAAGAACTGTACCGGGGTATAGAAGAACTTACCGGGGTATATAAGAACTGTACCGGAGTATAGAAGAACTGTACCGGAGTATAGAAGAAAAGTACCGGGGTATAGAAGAACTGTACCGGGGTTCACATAGCAAATGTATACATTTGTTAGGTCCACGAAGATAGGTCCCGTAGGTCCCAGAAATATGGTCCCAAAGCGGGTTCCAGAGGTGTGGCGAGGTCCTAGAATGGAGGTGAGGTTTCTTCGTAGAGACGAGGTCAGATAGGTGTTGTTGGTGCCAAGCTTTCAGTAGTATACACCATTGAGCTCTGTTAAAGAGGCACATCCTCGACCAAGTGGAAGTTTTAATAAGGTATTTTTTTAAAATTCAAAACACGAACACATCTTTTAACAAGGTAACTGTGGTTTTTGACCTATGAAAAAAGCTACACATAGCGCAGATTGCGATTGTCATTTCTTCTACCTTATAAAAATAATGATGTAGAAATAAATATACACCAGTAACTCTACCCTTGACAAGACTAGAATCTAGATCCGATTTATTTTAACGAAATGTGGGGCAAACTGATCACTTTGTCAGCGATACTGACAGACACATTACAGTCGTTCTGTTGGTCAACTAAACAGACAGTTTTGAAGACAGTCTACAGACACATGTCTTACAAGACAGACACATTACAGTCGTTCTGTTGGTCAACTATACAAGACAGACAACAATCGGTCGAATGTCATTGATGTTTGTATCACGTGACTTACGATCACGTGCTCATTATTTACTGGCTGTAGCAGCAATGTCAAGGTGCAGGGGTGCTGTCTTTATTTTTGTGTAACCTGTCAGTGTGGGTTATTGAGTGGTGGTAAATCTAATGGTTGGGTCACTGGTATAGTGGTGATAAGGGGGTTAGAACAAAAGGGGGTAGATGGAATATATGGGGGGTCTAGAACAAATGGGGGTTGATGGAATATATGGGGGTCTAGAACAAATGGGGTTGATGGAACATATGGGGGTCTATAACAAAAAGGGGTTGATGGAACATATGGGGGTCTAGAACAAAAGGGGGTAGATGGAACATATGGGGGTCTAGAACAAAAGGGGGTTGATGGAACATATGGGGGTCTAAAACAAAGGGGTTGATGGAACATATGGGGGTCTAAAACAAAAGGGATTAATGGAACTTTGACGATGTAGGGTCTAAAGCAAAAGGGGGTTCATGGAATATAAGGGAGTCTAAAACATAAGGGGTTGATTTAACATTTTATTGAATGGGTGTAAATCTAATGGGTAGGTCACGGGTACACTGGGGGGGGGGGGGAGAGTCTAGAACAGTAGGGGCTGATGGGATATATTGCGGGGGTCCATAACAAAAGGGGTTGATGAAACTGGTGATATGAGGTGGGGTGGGAGGGACGTTTGGGATTAGCCATAAATTACAACGGCGTGTGTGTTGAACATGTTGTAAACATGATGAAACAAAGGAAGTGAGGTGGGGATGGACTCAACATCAGATACGGGGAGGCGTGGCAAACAAGATAGGGGGTGGGGGTTGAGCTTTACTGACATGTAGGGCGAGTCTAATTAGCGAGGGGGCGTATAATACAGCGACCAGACATAAAAAACAGAAATAATGGAATATCAGGTATAATCAGGACACCTCCATGTTTGAAGTGTTGGCTACTGGGGGAGCGGGGGAGGAGGGTGTGGGCAGCTGAGTGAGACCAGGACATTGTAAAAGATTGCGCAACAACCTGAAGGTGTGACATTTAGTGATGACGCCACTTGACATAAGGAGATGACACTAATTGACATGACACTGACCATTGGCACTACCTGACCTGGCACTGTCTGGTAGCCACAATACACGGCTAGACACTGCTTGACGTGACCAGAGTTTCAGGGGGGGGGGGTGGCGAGGGGCATAGCTTTTAACAGTGTCGTCACCCCCCCCCCCCCCCCCCCCGGAAACTTTAGGCCGCCCCCCCCCCCCCCCCCCCAGAAAATTTCAAGTGCCTCCACCGAAGAAAAAAGTCTGGAAAAACACTGGACGTGACACTATCTGTCGTGACGCTGGATAATGTGCACGTCATGACGTGACACTTCCTTGCGTGACAATAGATCACGTTAAACTGAATAAAAGTTCATAACACGTGACAAATCTAAAAATAAAAGTTATCTCCATTTCAGGATACTGCTTTACAAACTTATACAAACTACTGCTTTACAAACTACTGCTATACAAACTTATACAAACTACTGCTTTACAAACTACTGCTTTACAAACTTATACAAACTACTGCTTTACAAACTTATACAAACTACTGCTTTACAAACTTATACAAACTACTGCTTTATAAACTTATATAATCTACTGCTATAAAAACGTATACAAGCTACTGCTTTATAAACTTATACAAAATACTGCTCTACAAACTTATATAATCTACTGCTATAAAAACGTATACAAACTTCTGGTTTATAAACGTAAGGTGTTTGAAAATATCACGTTTTTATAACCAGTGTCAAGGTCAGTAGCAAATCTGTCGCATTGATTTCTGGGATTAAAGCTCAATTCTATTTTTTCTTTCTTCTGTTTCATTTGTGTCGCACACAGTCCCTCTAAGCGGTAAAGGCGCTACGCTTTCTCAAGAGGAAACATGTGTTTTTTTTTTTCTTAATGGCAAAATGTTTTGACACAAACCCGGAAAATTAGTTTTTTTTTTACTTCTGTAGTTTGGAGGAAAAATAATAACAACACAAAAATACTCAACATAACGATTTCAGTAGAAATTTTAAAAAATAAAAACAACAACACTTAGCTCTAATTTTGTGTTGAAGCTGACAGATTGAACGGGATCTGACGTTCAACTACTGCCCGTTATAAATGTCTTCGTTAGCCGCCGCCATCTTTAACCTCACCACGTGACAGTAATTTCCTGCCCGTCACCGCCTCGTTTCTAAATCTAAATCTAAAATCATCCCTCAATCTTCTTGTGTTCATTCTGTTTTTGTGTTTTTGTTTTAGCCCGGATAAATTATCTCCCCTCGCGAGATTTGTAGATTAACGAGGCCACAAGACTAGACGAAGTGAGAAAATCTCATCCAAAATTGATAGATACACACTCTACAAAGTATATTCTCAACCTCACCACTACACTCAACAAGATATATTTTCAACCTCACCACTACACTCAACAAGATATATTTTCAACCTCACCACTACACTCAACAAGATATATTTTCAACCTCACCACTACACTCAACAAGATATATTTTCAACCTCACCACTACACTCAACAAGATATATTTTCAACCTCACCACTACACTCAACAAGATATATTTTCAACCTCACCACTACACTCAACAAGATATATTTTCAACCTCACCACTACACTCAACAAGATATATTTTCAACCTCGCCACTACACTCAACAAGATATATTTTCAACCTCACCACTACACTCAACAAAATATATTCTCAACCTCACCACTACACTCAACAAGATATATTTTCAACCCGACACTACACTCAACAAGATATATTTTCAACCTCACCACTACACTCAACAAAATATATTCTCAACCTCACCACTACACTCAACAAGATATATTTTCAACCTCACCACTACACTCAACAAGATATATTTTCAACCCGACACTACACTCAACAAGATATATTTTCAACCTCACCACTACACTCAACAAGATATATTTTCAACCTCACCACTACACTCAACAAGATATATTTTCAACCCGACACTACACTCAACAAGATATATTTTCAACCTCACCACTACACTCAACAAGATATATTTTCAACCTCACCACTACACTCAACAAGATATATTTTCAACCTCACCACTACACTCAACAAGATATATTTTCAACCTCACCACTACACTCAACAAGATATATTTTCAACCCGACACTACACTCAACAAGATATATTTTCAACCTCACCACTACACTCAACAAGATATATTTTCAACCCGACACTACACTCAACAAGATATATTTTCAACCCGACACTACACTCAACAAGATATATTTTCAACCTCACCACTACACTCAACAAGATATATTTTCAACCTCACCACTACACTCAACAAGATATATTTTCAACCTCACCACTACACTCAACAAGATATATTTTCAACCTCACCACTACACTCAACAAGATATATTTTCAACCCGACACTACACTCAACAAGATATATTTTCAACCTCACCACTACACTCAACAAAATATATTCTCAACCTCGCCACTACACTCAACAAAATATTTTTCTGGAGATATTCTTCTGAACTAATGTGCATTGTTTGTTCAAACTTGTGTTCAATAATTCCTCTTAATTTCCTAACACAATGACTCAGTCACAACTTCTAACCCCGAGTACCGTTCAATTTTTCAGTACACAGGAGAGGCACTCGTGTAACGGAATACTATACATACATACATATATATATATATATATATATATATATATATATATATATATATATATATATATATATATATATATATATATATATATATATATATATATATATTTCACTGCGTATCTCCACTATCCCTGACCACACGCTTCCACCTTCCATTCCATGATTTTTCTAGTTTTCAGAAAACTTTATCACAAAGCCTAAAAAAGGATTTATAAATATTTTCTGACCTCTATTTATACAGATTATTTTCTATTTTTCTACAGAATTCTCAATATTTTCTGACCTCTATTTATACAGATTATTTTTCTATTTTTCTACAGAATTCTCAATATTTTCTGACCTCTATTTATACAGATTATTTTTCTATTTTTCTACAGAATTCTCCATCCCGGAAGTTGTGCACACCACGTCATCAAAACGTCACTAATGGGTTTTCATAAACCGGAGAGGTCCCGGTGTCACGTGACTGCCGGACGAGATCGTCTGCTACCCCATCAACATCCCCTCATATAGCCCTCACCCCCCACCTCCCACACACGTGCACCACTCACCATGACCCGGAAGTGCTCCAAACGTCTAGCCGCCCTGGTCTGGGCGCTGCTAGAATGCATGTTCTTCTCCTCCGTGGTACTAGGCTGGACCTGGCTGTCCATCGTCCTCCAGAAGGACGGCTACTTCCCCGAGTACTGCAACGCCACCGTGACCAACGTGACGTCACTTCCTGTGTCCACAACGGTCAAACCCAAAAGCCCGTGCGTGAGTCGCCGGCCGAGGACCCCAAACGTCAGCCGGAAGTTGGATGTGAGTACCACTACCAGGGCGAGTGATCTGCCCTTTGGTGAACACGGGATTTCGGATTTACGAATAGATTGGGATATGCTAATCCTAAGCGACACCAGGATTCTAAACAGGTAATTAATTATGCAGTTCTTCTATTTTAGAAGGTACTTTTTTTACTTAATCAATGGGCCAAGAAAATTATAATAGTAAGTCGCAGTGTATTGACTGGACCTAAATCTAACCCTTTTATCAATATCTTTTCCCTTCACGCCAAAGACACTTGGTGCAAATGAAGTAGAGTTCATCTGTTTCAGTAAACTTTTTTTCCTAACGTTTCCCTTAAAGTTTGATTACCCAACCATAACACTGAACATACCCGGTACAATAACAATATTTACAAGACACCAACACCACTCTCAAACCCAATCATAAACAAAGTTAATGTGGAATCTTCAATCCAAACTCTTACATCTTCAGATTGAAGCGCGCGGAGCCTGACGCCAACCTGACGTCACTGAGCGCTAATGACGTCATCGATCTCACCGGTCACTGCCGCGAGAAGCTGCGCGTCATGTTTGCTCTGGTGCTCATCATCCGGGACCTGCTCACCTTCCCGCTCGGCATTTTCTACGACAAGTACGGCACGACACGGACACGTCTGCTGACCGTGTGAGTACTGACAACGTCCTAACAACTTGTGCGAGTAGTGACTAGGTCCTTAACAACTTGTGTGAGTAGTGACTAGGTCCTTAACAACGTGTGTGACTAGGTCCTTAACAACTTGTGTGACTAGGTCCTTAACAACTTGTGTGACTAGGTCCTTAACAACTTGTGTGACTAGATCCTTAACAACTTGTGTGAGTAGTGACTAGGTCCTTAACAACTTGTGCTAGTAGTGACTAGGTCCTTAACAACTTGTGCGAGTACTGACTAGGTCCTTAACAACTTGTGCGAGTAGTGACTAGGTCCATAACAGCTTGTGTGAGTAGTGACTAGGTCCTTAACAACTTGTGCGAGTAGTGACTAGGTTCTTAACAACTTGTGTGAGTAGTGACTAGGTCCTTAACAACTTGTGTGAGTAGTGACTAGGTCCTTAACAACTTGTGTGAGTAGTGACTAGGTCCTTAACAACTTGTGTGAGTAGTGACTAGGTCCTTAACAACTTGTGTGACTAGGTCCTTAACAACTTGTGTGACTAGGTCCAACTTGTGTGAGTAGTGACTAGGTCCTTAACAACTTGTGTGAGTAGTGACAAGGTCCTTAACAACTTGTGTGAGTAGTGACTAGGTCCTTAACAACTTGAGGGAGTAGGTCCTTAACAACTTGTGTGAGTAGTGACTAGGTCCTTAACAACTTGTGTGAGTAGTGACTAGGTCCTTAACAACTTGTGTGAGTAGTGACTAGGTCCTTAACAACTTGAGGGAGTAGGTCCTTAACAACTTGTGTGAGTAGTGACTAGGTCCTTAACAACTTGTGTGAGTAGTGACTAGGTCCTTAACAACTTGTGTAAGTAGTGACTAGGTCCTTAACAACTTGTGTGAGTAGGTCCTTCACAACTTGTGTGAGTAGTGACTAGGTCCTTAACAACTTGTGTGAGTAGTGACTAGGTCCTTAACAACTTGTGTGACTAGGTCCTTAACAACTTGTGTGACTAGGTCCTTAACAACTTGTGTGACTAGGTCCTTAACAACTTGTGTGACTAGGTCCTTAACAACTTGTGTGACTAGGTCCTTAACAACTTGTGTGACTAGGTCCTTAACAACTTGTGTGACTAGGTCCTTAACAACTTGTGTGACTAGGTCCTTAACAACGTGTGTGAATAGGTCCTTAACAACTTGTGTGAGTAGTGACTAGGTCCTTAACAACTTGTGTGAGTAGTGACAAGGTCCTTAACAACTTGTGTGAGTAGTTACTAGGTCCTTAACAACTTGAGGGAGTAGGTCCTTAACAACTTGTGTGAGTAGTGACTAGGATCTTAACAACTTGTGTGAGTAGTGACTAGGTCCTTAACAACTTGTGTGAGTAGTGACTAGGTCCTTAACAACTTGAGGGAGTAGGTCCTTAACAACTTGTGTGAGTAGTGACTAGGTCCTTAACAACTTGTGTGAGTAGTGACTAGGTCCTTAACAACTTGTGTGAGTAGTGACTAGGTCCTTAACAACTTGTGTGAGTAGTGACTAGGTCCTTAACAGAGTAGTGACTAGGTCATTAACAGAGTAGTGACTAGGTCCTTAACAGAGTACTGACTAGGTCCTTAACAACTTGAGTGAGTAGTGACTAGGTCCTTAACAACTTGTGTAAGTAGTGACTAGGTCCTTAACAACTTGTGTCAGTAGGTCCTTCACAACTTGTGTGAGTAGTGACTAGGTCCTTAACAACTTGTGTGAGTAGTGACTAGGTCCTTAACAACTTGTGTGACTAGGTCCTTAACAACTTGTGTGACTAGGTCCTTAACAACTTGTGTGACTAGGTCCTTAACAACTTGTGTGACTAGGTCCTTAACAACTTGTGTGACTAGGTCCTTAACAACTTGTGTGACTAGGTCCTTAACAACTTGTGTGACTAGGTCCTTAACAACTTGTGTGACTAGGTCCTTAACAACTTGTGTGACTAGGTCCTTAACAACTTGTGTGAGTAGTGACTAGGTCCTTAACGACTTGTGTGACTAGGTCCTTAACAACTTGTGTGAGTAGTGACTAGGTCCTTAACAACTTGTGTGAGTAGTGACTAGGTCCTTAACAACTTGTGTGAGTAGTGACTAGGTCCTTCACAACATGTGTGATTATGTTTTACCATATGTTTCACCATATGTTTAACAAATACAGATTTAAACTCTGACAGATTAAATACTAAATTTCAAAAACGAAATTTCTTCATAACACTTCCTATTTATTTCTATTGTAAAAAAAAGCCATAAGCCTATGCAAACACATACTCATACACAATTAATGCTACTGCTTATTCTAAGTTCCGAGGTTCGCTTTAAAAATAATACAACATGCATCTGTTATATTGAAGTATCCATCTCGTCATACAGAATATTCCCCTATTCACGTAGCTCCAACATACAACGATACTTCACTCTCTTCAAGATGGCGGGCATTGAATTTATTTCCTCAACACTTACAAAAAATATGAGCGCCATTTTCGATTATAATCAGATTTTTCTGCCATGTCAGGACATGTCAACAATGCTTGACATTTAGGACATCAGAGTGATGCACTCTGGGATAATTTCCTTTTTTAGTGCGGGGAATTTTAAGGAAATAATGAAATAAAATTCCAAGAAATTTATTTTCTGATATTTTGTATTAGACGTGTTACGTTTTTCAATTTATAGCTAGTTAGGAATAGAGGAAAAGTTAGTTAAGATTAGAGAGAAAGTTAGGATTAGAGAGAAAGTTAGAGAGAAAGACATAGTTAGGATTAGAGAGAAAGCTAGTTATGAATAGAGAAAAAGCTACTTCGGATTAGACAGCTACTTAGCTACATTTCATTTTTTATTTAATATCCGTGTCCACTTTAGTCAGAAAGTTAGCCTAGTTTGTACGACGAAGCTAGTGGGGAAACAAACTATGCTTCGACTTGTTTCAGATTTTTTTTTTCACAACCAAACATGTTTTTTTTTAATTACAAACGTATTTTAAAGTTAAACCTTCTGTTTGGGTTATTTGTATGTGGGCGTGTTATTTTGTCGAAATTAACAAACAACTCTATTTTTAAAAAAACGGTGTAAAATGTTATATTGTACTGTTGAAGGCAAAACGACAAGTTTAACAATTTAAAATTTCCTCAAGTTCATTAATTCATATCTTCCCAATGGCGCCTCTGGGTCTATATAAAGTAGCAAAATTATGAGGTTTAAAGAAACCTTATCTCCTTAAATAGGGAAAAAAGCTATACTTGTGTTATTTTCTTATATATATATATATATATATATATATATATATATATATATATATATATATATATATATATATATATATATATATGTGTGTGTGTGTGTGTATATGCGTGCGTGTGTGCATACATGCGTGTGTGCATACATGCGTTCGTGAATGCGTCTCTGAGAATCTTATTTACTTCTTGTTGAATGAGTTTTGAAAAATATTTCTAGCATCTACATATCATCAAGCGACTTGTTCAGTTCAAATTTCCTCAAACTTTTGTTCTTCAGTTTGTATACAAAAAGAACTGCGCACTAAATTCACCACACAATGCGGTATAGATATTCTTTATTTATCAACGCACAGACTGTAGTTCGGCATCAATACAACACCACTTGGGGGTTTCAATGACAAGGCATAAAATATTCGAATTTTCTCGTAACCAAAACCTATTTTGTTATACCGCTGAGCAACGATTAGGGGGAGGGAGAGATGGTATACATATAACAGCGACTTAAAGGTGTATTGAAAAAAAGAATGAACAAAAAATATTTTCCATCGACGGACTCAACATGTTGTGTAGATGAATTCCTACTTATTTTCCACCCACAAGACCACTTCTCCGATAGACTTACTATTTCATCAGTCGGCCATCCCAATTGTCCAAATGTTGTCTCTAAACTACATTTTGATCTGCCCTCCCAATAGTCCAAAAGTTTCGCCAAACTATATTTGGATCATCTACCCACTCACCACTTCATTTAACATCAACTGTTATACATTACCCTCCACCCCCCTCCCCCCCTCCCCCTTTTATCCACGAATGTTGTATTCAGTTCCCTTAATTTCCATAACCCACTATATCCACTACCCTTATAATTAAGTGCTCTTTTAATCCCTTCCTTCGCTAATTCACTATTTTATCCAATATATAACCCACTACCCACCCAGTTATCTATTTTCCGTCTGATCCACTATCTCTCTTATCCACAACTACAGTAATCCCCTACCCCTCTAATCCCCTACCCCTCTAATCCACTAATCCACTACATCTCTAATCCTCTACCCTCAAATCCACTACCCCAATAATCCCCTATCCCACAAAACCCCTACCACTCTAATCCGCTAATCCTCTAATCCACTACCACTCTAATCCACCCCCTCTAATCCTCTAATCCACAACCCCTATATTTCAGTCCCCCTATCCGACGCCCGCTTCTCCGTCTCCTCTGCCTCCCTCTTCCGTCTATCCAGCCTCTTCTGCTCCCTCCTCATCATCTTCAAGCACGTCTTCATTTTCCTCCTGTTAACCAGACAACGCACGTGCTTTATGAATAGGGCGAATGTCCAGATGAGCATGAGCACACACATGAGCATCTCACACCCAAACAGTAGGATGTAGTAGTCGAAGGAGCTCTTGTCTTCCTTGCTCTCCATCACAATAGCTGCAGAGGCATAGGGGGGGGGGGTTAAGGTATACATACATTGATAGACTGAGTTACTTGAACATAGGTAGTGAGGGGGGTGGTTAAGGTATACATACATTGATAGACTGAGTTACTTGAACATAGGTGGTGAGGGGGGTAGTTAATGTATACATACATTGATAGACTTAGTTACTTGAACATAGGTGGTGAGGGGGGTTAGTTAATGTATACATACATTAATAGACTTAGTTACTTGAACATAGGTGGTGAGGGGGGTTAGTTAATGTATACATACATTAATAGACTTAGTTACTTGAACATAGGTGGTGAGGGGGGTGGTTAAGGTATAAATACATTGATAGACTTAGTTACTTGAACATAGGTGGTGAGGGGGGTAGTTAATGTATACATACATTGATAGACTTAGTTACTTGAACATAGGTGGTGAGGGGGGTTAGTTAATGTATACATACATTAATAGACTTAGTTACTTGAACATAGGTGGTGAGGGGGGTTAGTTAATGTATACATACATTAATAGACTTAGTTACTTGAACATAGGTGGTGAGGGGGGTTAGTTAATGTATACATACATTAATAGACTTAGTTACTTGAACATAGGTGGTGAGGGGGGTTAGTTAATGTATACATACATTAATAGACTTAGTTACTTGAACATAGGTGGTGAGGGGGGTAGTTAATGTATACATACATTGATAGACTTAGTTACTTGAACATAGGTGGTGAGGGGGGTTAGTTAATGTATACATACATTAATAGACTTAGTTACTTGAACATAGGTGGTGAGGGGGGTTAGTTAATGTATACATACATTAATAGACTTAGTTACTTGAACATAGGTGGTGAGGGGGGTTAGTTAATGTATACATACATTAATAGACTTAGTTACTTGAACATAGGTGGTGAGGGGGGTAGTTAATGTATACATACATTGATAGACTTAGTTACTTGAACATAGGTGGTGAGGGGGGTTAGTTAATGTATACATACATTAATAGACTTAGTTACTTGAACATAGGTGGTGAGGGGGGTAGTTAATGTATACATACATTAATAGACTTAGTTACTTGAACATAGGTGGTGAGGGGGGTTAGTTAATGTATACATACATTAATAGACTTAGTTACTTGAACATAGGTGGTGAGGGGGGTTAGTTAATGTATACATACATTAATAGACTTAGTTACTTGAACATAGGTGGTGAGGGGGGTTAGTTAATGTATACATACATTGATAGACTTAGTTACTTGAACATAGGTGGTGAGGGGGGTAGTTAATGTATACATACATGAATAGACTTAGTTACTTGAACATAGGTGGTGAGGGGGGTTAGTTAATGTATACATACATTAATAGACTTAGTTACTTGAACATAGGTGGTGAGGGGGGTAGTTAATGTATACATACATTAATAGACTTAGTTACTTGAACATAGGTGGTGAGGGGGGTTAGTTAATGTATACATACATTAATAGACTTAGTTACTTGAACATAGGTGGTGAGGGGGGTAGTTAATGTATACATACATTAATAGACTTAGTTACTTGAACATAGGTGGTGAGGGGGGTTAGTTAATGTATACATACATTAATAGACTTAGTTACTTGAACATAGGTGGTGAGGGGGGTTAGTTAATGTATACATACATTAATAGACTTAGTTACTTGAACATAGGTGGTGAGGGGGGTTAGTTAATGTATACATACATTAATAGACTTAGTTACTTGAACATAGGTGGTGAGGGGGGTTAGTTAATGTATACATACATTAATAGACTTAGTTACTTGAACATAGGTGGTGAGGGGGGTTAGTTAATGTATACATACATTAATAGACTTAGTTACTTGAACATAGGTGGTGAGGGGGGTTAGTTAATGTATACATACATTGATAGACTTAGTTACTTGAACATAGGTGGTGAGGGGGGTTAGTTAATGTATACATACATGAATAGACTTAGTTACTTGAACATAGGTGGTGAGGGGGGTTAGTTAATGTATACATACATTGATAGACTTAGTTACTTGAACATAGGTGGTGAGGGGGGTTAGTTAATGTATACATACATTGATAGACTTAGTTACTTGAACATAGGTGGTGAGGGGGGTAGTTAATGTATACATACATTGATAGACTTAGTTACTTGAACATAGGTGGTGAGGGGGGTTAGTTAATGTATACATACATTGAAAGACTTAGTTACTTGAACATAGGTGGTGAGGGGGGTTAGTTAATGTATACATACATTAATAGACTTAGTTACTTGAACATAGGTGGTGAGGGGGGTTAGTTAATGTATACATACATTAATAGACTTAGTTACTTGAACATAGGTAATGAGGAGTTGCCGACGTATGCATACATGGACAGACTTGGACAATAAAAAGGGCATAATTTGGGTGGGGTGGGGGCGGTAGCTAATGTTTACACAAATGTCAACTCACCTGAATGATTCAGGTACAAATGTCAACTCTACACACGTCAACTCACCTGAATGATTCAGGTACAAATGTCAACTCACCTGAATGATTCAGGTACAAATGTCAACTCACCTGAATGATTCAGGTACAAATGTCAACTCACCTGAATGATTTAGGTACACATGATGTAACCGATTGTCATCCTCCATTACACATCCCAAGGCCGCGCCCTTTATACTGATGATAGGGATGGGTAAACCACCCGAAATAAGGCATTACTTACATTGACGTAGTATATATATATATATATATATATATATATATATATATATATATATATATATATATATATATATACATATATATATATATATATGTGTGTGTGTGTGTGCCTGTGTGTATCTGTGTTTAACTAAATAATTGATGTACTCATCAACTTAAAATAATGTATTTAATGACAAAAAAATCGTATAACACTAAATTAAATATAACACAGCGCAAAGTTTTCCCCTTGAGAAAATTAAATTAAAATCATGCTCTAAGTTTTATAATTTTGTTAAGTATCTCACTTGCCCAAAGAGCTTAGAAATTTTTTTTAATACAGATATATATTTTTAAACTTTGGCCTTTAGCCTTTGAACTTGAGTCTTTGAACTTACCCACAGGAAAAGTTTTGGTTGATTAATCCCCCTATAGGCAGGTAGTAGATCAAGACGGTAGCACCTTGCCTTGTATCCACCACCGACCCAGATTTCTGACGTTAGAAAGTTGCAGCAAATTTAGTTTTACAAGCTTTCACTAACATCACAATGTTTATCTGTTTCTATTTCTTGTGAGGTGTCTATTTTGTTTCAATGTTGGTGTATTCCTACGATAATGATTTATTTCAACATGATATTGCTATCCGTGATAGCCAAGCATTAATATCTAATTTTCAATGTGACTGAAATGAAATTAGGGATTTTAAAAACGAAGGAATTAGCATGTTAAGGTTAGTGTGTATAATGGTAAAAGTGATGTCGGTTAAAATATACTAAATCGAATTAATGAGCGTCTTGTTCCTTTACTGTTAATGCAAAATAAAACGTGTGATTATTTTCTTAATTTACGAAAGCCTGTAATATTATTTTTTAACTAAATTATTAAATCAAAGTAAATCAAAAAAGTTCCATGTGAAGTTAGAAAACCTCCTTTGATCTCAATAACTTTTCCCCGTCTCAATATTTTAACAAGATCTTTATCGCTTCCAACCATATCTTATTTTTATCATCGCCCTTACATTGTCGTCGTCACGTCTTCACAAGTCATCATCAATCGTATCTATTTCCTGTTCCTGCTTAACACAAAGACCTTTGAACCTGTCATCATTTATCATCCATTGTATCCTACACGACATCATAAGTATCTTCGAGAATTATCTGACTAAACTTCCTTGTGGCTTTGTCTAGTTATGTTAAAAATAAGATTATAGCCATATCTGGCTTTGTCTAGTTGTGTAATAAATAAGATTATAACCATATCTAGCTTTGTCTAGTTGTGTTATAAATATGATTATAGCCATATCTGGCTTTGTCTAGCTGTGTTTTAAATAGGATTATAGCCATCTCTACACTTGAAAACAGCTTGCACGTTTGCAGCTGATATTCAAAAATGAAGATTAAAAAGTACTTGTCTAGTTTGTTAATAGCTGATTTTAATAAATACCAAATATCACCTTACCCATATCGTTAAATTGACCAAATACCACCTTACCCATATCATTAAATTGACCAAATACCACCTTACCCATATCGTTAAATTGACCAAATACCACCTTAGCCATATCGTTAAATTGACCAAATACCACCTTACCCATATCGTTAGATTGACCATCGGCTGGCCCAGAAAGGTCGAGTTGTAGAGATAGCACTTGACGATGAGGGTGCCGGAACTCCGGTAGATGGCCGTGATTTTCAGCATCAGCCGCCGTGATGGGGGAACTGTCAACCGGAATAAATGCCGGCAAATGTCAAAGGTCAACGTGTTTATGTGATTGGTCGAGCCGGGTGCACAGAGGTGATGTATCAGTTCTTATCTTGGATTGGATAGGGTAGAAATAGGGCGATAAAAAAACTGGCACAGGCCACGGGGGCGAAGTTTGAATTATGGCAACATCTCAAGGTCCTTTGTGAGAATTGGGTGTAGGAAATGTTCAAACTACTGCGATAGATTTAAAGTGCGTTTTAACATTCTACTGTGCATGCGTGTTTAGTTGCAGATCTACAATGTTTTAGAAGCCATCAGTAGTGTAGCTAGGTCGGGTTTCACCCGGTGCGGTACTTCGTGGTGTCACCCTCCGCCCCCAAGAAACAAAGTATATATAATTATATATATATATATATATATATATATATATATATATATATATATATATATATATATATATATATATATATATATATATATATATATATATATATATATATATATGTGTGTGTGTGTGTGTGTCTGTGTGTACATTCTCCCCCCCCCTCACCAACATAACTCCCACCACCCTCACCAGCCACCTCTAACCCGACTGGTCATCCCCACCCCAAGAACTCACCCCACCCACCGCCATCAATTATCGATAATCTTACCGACTAACCCGACTGTCATTATTTATTGCTCTATTATTATTGTTTCTCCGTTCAGCCTATATTTTTATTTGTCTAAAAGTAATGTTGTTTTTCAAAATAGTATGTTTAGATTTGCCAGGCTAAGGAAACACTATCACTTAGAAATGTTTAAGAATATCTCATTTCTAGTTTACAGTAAACGTCATATGTCTGGTAGTGTGTAAGGTGAGCAAACACGACAAACGAACATGTGACGTACGGACTGACGACACAAAAAGTCATGTGACGTAATGAGTACTGAATGACGACAATTAACATTTGACGGAACGATGTACATACTGACGATACAATAGACAAGACGTAATAATGCACTGACTAACGAAAAAAAAAACGTGACACAATACTGTACTAGCTGGTGAGATGAAATATGACGTAATGATGCACTGACTGATGATGTAAAGGTGTGATGTAATGATGCACTGACTGATGATATAAAGGTGTGATGTAATGATGCACTGACTGATGATATAAAGGTGTGATGTAATGATGCACTGACTGATGATATAAAGGTGTGATGTAATGATGCACTGACTGATGATATAAAGGTTGGATGTAATGATGCACTGACTGATGATATAAAGGTGTGATGTAATGATGCACTGACTGATGACATAAAGGTGTGATGTAATGGTGCACTGACTGATGATATAAAGGTGTGATGTAATGATGCACTGACTGATGATATAAATGTGTGATGTAATGATGCACTGACTGATGATATAAATGTGTGATGTAATGGTGCACTGACTTATAACATAAAGGTGTGATGTAATGGTGCACTGACTGATGATATAAAGGTGTGATGTAATGATGCACTGACTGATGATATAAAGGTGTGATGTAATGGTGCACTGACTTATAACATAAAGGTGTGATGTAATGGTGCACTGACTGATGATATAAATGTGTGATGTAATGATGCACTGACTGATGATATAAAGGTGTGATGTAATGGTGCACTGACTGATGATATAAATGTGTGATGTAATGGTGCACTGACTTATAACATAAAGGTGTGATGTAATGATGCACTGACTGATGATATAAATGTGTGATGTAATGATGCACTGACTGATGATATAAATGTGTGATGTAATGGTGCACTGACTTATAACATAAAGGTGTGATGTAATGGTGCACTGACTGATGATATAAATGTGTGATGTAATGATGCACTGACTGATGACAGAAAGGTGTGATGTAATGGTGCACTGAATCTAATATATAAAGCTCAGTTCTGTAACGTGTGGCAAAAAACAAAAAAGTTTGTCGTTGACACTTCTACGGATTTAAGTGTTAGATTTTTTATCGTGCTCAAAGTCTAAATGTACGAGTCGAAAAATTACCATTGAAAGTCTTTAAAAACAATTTTCATTCTATTTACTTAGAAGAATAATTTTCAATTATGAACGCGACATAAAATTTTTAAAAAGTGTATCGACGTTTATAAAATTTCTAAAATTGTGTCGGAAATGTATTGACTGCAAAGTTACTTCCCTTTAATGAAAAATAAATCCTTAAGAAGAGAGAATTAACATTTTATTACTTTGTTTTTGGTGTTAAGAAAAAAAAAAAAAATTACACAATTAGCGGGGATTGATTAAGTGCAATGTCGTTAGGTATTTTTAACACTGCCTTTTATTTATTCTATACACTGAACATACTGTTCAATAATTATTATTTTTTTTTTAAATCAATAACATTTAATAAGCCAGGTCCTACAAATCATATACGTTTATTTCTTTCCATTTACGGATAAGCTTGGAGTATTATCATTTTTGTTCACTAAATTGAAACAGGCGCGTCCGCCGGCGCCCCTGCACGGTTTGATTTGGCACCCTGGGCTATCATGTGAGCGCTATGCTGCATAATTTTGTTTTAAACAGTGCGATAGACTATGGATAAGAAAGGTTACTATAGTCTTTAAGTGAATCAAATCCGGGCGTCCTCCGGCACCCCGACAGGGTGCTATTTGGCGCCCCGGGCCTTCCGGTGTACGCTATGGTATCTACGTTCGCGTGAGTTCAAAAGACTATAAATAAGTTATGCACTATAGGCGTTTACTAAGTTCAATCAGGCGGTGACGTCATGGTGCGTCCTCTGGCGCCCAGACAGGGTGCTTTTTGGGGTCCCGGGCCTCCCGTGTTCGGTTTCGCGCCTACGTTCATTAAAGTGAGTGCAAAAGACTATGAATAAGTTGGGGTACTATAGTCGTTTATTAAGTTGAAGTAGGCGATTCAGCCCCATGAGCACTTTGCGTTTATATTCGCGTTAGTGTTTTCTTTGTGTTTAGGTTGGGTTTGCGTTAGTGGTTGCGTTTTGATTTGGTTCGTTTTTGTTCTTTCTTTTTTCGTTTTCGTTTGTGTTTTATTTTCATTGGGTTTGTGTTTGTATTTGTGTTTGAGGTTGGTTTTGCGTTTGGATTTGGTTTGTTTTCGTTTGTTTTTTCTTTTGTGTTTTTTTTCTTTGGGTTTGTGGTTGGTTTTGCGTTTGTATTTGGTTTGTTTTCGTTTGCTTTTTCGTTTGTTTTTTTCTTTGGGTTTGTGTTTGTGGTTGGTTTTGTGTTTGGATTTGGTTTGTTTTCGTTTGCTTTTTTCATTGTGTTCGTATTGGTGTTTGTGGTTGTGGTTGGTTTGTTGTAAGTTTTTGTTTTCGTTTGTATTTGTAATTGTGTTAGCGTTATGTTTGCGTTTTGTTGTTTTGGTTTTGGTTGGTTGTGGCTTGGGTGGGCAATGCCGGGTTTATGATGATTACTAAACACACAGGTGATGGTCTTTAACAGAAGGGTTTTTCACAGAAGCCAGAGCAGGGCCTGGCCGGGACGGCTAGTGATGATATAAAGATGTGATGTAATGATGCACTGACTGATGACATATAGGTGTGATGTAATGATGCACTGACTTATAACATAAAGGTGTGAGGCGTCAGTCAGCAGCAACTTCTTGTCATCAAACTGCGTCAACACTGGCCGGATCTCGTCAACAAGTTCCGTCAACTCTGACGCTTCTTCTGTGAAATGCAAGGCAACTTTTCAAAACACAAAGCCCATTGTTAATTTAATCCTAACATAATTGTGTTGCCAAGTCG